TGTACCGGGAATTGTTCATTTCCTCAAATATTTGGAATCAATAATGGGAGAGTGATGAGATGGGCTGTCTCACTGGGCCCAAGTGTCACAGGACGAGAGGGAGAGGTGAAGAGAGCAGCAAACGAAGCACAAGGGCCTTCACTGAAGTGGACCACTATTCTCAGAGCAAGCTCATTAAAGCCACGGGGATGGTGGGCCTGAAATTGCCAGAACGCCAGCGTTTTCCAGAGCTTGTGACAAGGATTTTAAAGTGACATTTCCTGATCATTAAGTTGGCAGTGAATGTTAAGTCTTAAAAGTGCTGTAGAGAAGGGAAACTAAACAACAGACCTCGGGGAGGCAAGGCCTGAGCTCATCGCAATAGGTGGATGGCCTAGGAAGAAATGGGGCTGATGATAGACACAGGAGCTATCCAGGAAGGACATGTGCTGCTCTGCTCTTCATAGGAAAACCAAGTGAAGACCAGGTCAAATTCAACAAAGGGGACACTAAAACACAATCAGGAGACTTGGGGACGTGTAGAGATGACTCAGAGGTTAGGAGCATTTGCTGTTCTTGCAGAGGACCTAGTTTGGTCCGCAGCTGTCTGCAACTCTGGTACAGGGGGATCCAGTGCTTTCCGGCCTCTGTATGTATATATACACAGTGTGCATGCATACATACAGATAAAATACTCATAGCCATAAAATAAAAATAAATATTTCTAAAGAAGTTTTTTTTTGTTTGTTTGGTTTGGTTTGGTTTTTTATGCCAGAGAAAGTGCCTCACTTAGCAGTGACAACAGAAAACATCAGAGAGAAAATAAAGGGAGAGAAAATTCTAAACTTAACCAGCCTTGCTTTTAATGGAGCCTCATTCAGAACAGTGGTAATGACCTAGAAAGGACAATCAAGATCTTCCAGACTGGGCCATCCCGAGAGAGAGGATGCCAAGAAATAAAACCAAGCTTGAGGCTGTGGCTTCACCCCACCTCCCCATAAACCAGGAGCAATTACGGCTAAACAAGCCACACCACCTTTGTAGTATATTTGGCAATTTAATCTGTTCTGTGTATTCACATTTCTTGTACGTGACATTTGGTTCTTGCCATCTAACTCATTTGCATGTTCCTCAAGAAGAATTCCCTTCTGTTCAAACGTGGAAATAAGGCCCAGGCATGTCCAATCTTCTGACGTCATGACACCCAGTATTGACATCTACAAAGTTGATGCTGGAGAACTACATAACAGAGTTACAAGCAAAAAACAAACAGACAGAAAACCTCATGACAATTTAAGTATGTTTCCAATTTTGTGTTGGGCTGTATTCATAGCTATCTTGAGGCTCATGCAGCTTGTGGGCCATGGGAAGGACACCTGAGAGCCTTCATAGACAAACATCCACAGTTATTGAAGCTGAGATTCAAAGCTACAGGGTATAGGTTGTGAACCAGCTTCAGGACCAAGGTGTCCTCCTGACCCTACCCCACCACCAGAGCCCAGTGAGTTAATGGACAGAGAAAAGGAAGGTGGCTTGAAATGCCAAATCCACCACAGTCTGGTTCACCACCCCTTGCAGGGATACCATAATGGGTCACAAAACGCCCCAAATGAGAAGTCCTCAGGGTGCCTTCAGTCAACTCCCCACCTGACCTTCCAACAGCCTCTGTTGCCACTGGGGACCTGTTTTTCTCTCTTTTCTGCCTCTTCCTCATCTCTCTGGGTGTCCAGGTTCTTTGGATTTCTTGCTGTCTTAGCCTACCTTTTCCTACAGCTCCACCACAGCACATGGGGGCTCTCTGACTTTATCCTCGGCTCTAGCTCCAACCAACCTGATGTGTATACTTTGGAATCTTTGGCTCTTGTGCAGTCAAAGGATCAAGAACAGCAGTTTCTTCCTTCTGGACCTGCTCTTCTTCTTTCTGCTGACATCAGCAAGCCCTCAACTGAACACATCTTTGTTCATTCATGGTATCTTCCCTTCCCTTATCTCTCAACTCGAGTTCATTGTTACATGCTGACTTGTGGTAACAAAATATCCCTAAACAAACCTTTTCTGCCATCCCTCTAGTCTCTGTGCTGGTCCAAGCTCTAGCCTCTCTTACATGTCAGAAGGCCCCACATTCTCCCTTCTTGTCCATCTTTGCCTCTTCTGAGCTACTCTTTAGGGCGTGTTCTTTAGGGCCATAACGCTCTCAAAAAACCCAAGAGCTATTATAACACAGCTTCCTGAACTTCCTTCCCGTGGCCTAGAAGAAATCCCACAGGGCCCTGCAGGAATTCCCTAAATGGCCTGAGTCAAATCCTTTCTTGATTCAGCCCAGCAGTCTGTTATTGGTATGTATCAGGAGAAAGGGGATGGGTAAAGAAGGTATTGTGGTATAGGGAGATTTGAGGAATTATTGCTCTTCTGTGTTGGGGTATTTTTTGATGGATACAATGTTTCAATTTTGTACATGGAAAGAGTCCTAGAGGTGGATTGGGTGCAGAAAAACAATGATCCTTTCTTTATAATAAGAATATGGGAATCTGTATGGCAAAACTGTATATTTTACAACTTTATAAAGTTAGGCATTAGCCCAGAGAAAAATGCAAACATGGGTGACCTTTGAAATTAGAGCAAAACAGTGGTTTAAATTTTTTTAATTTTTTTGCTTTTGTTATGAATCATAATGTAAATATCTATGTTTTCCAGTGGTCTTAGGTGACCCACGGATTGAGAAACACTGCTCTAATGTATATCCTGGAGCTTGAGATTTCTGTCAGGTCCAAATGAAACTACTATTTCTTAAACTCCAAAAGGCAGTGCAGATGTCGAGAATGACTATCTTGGCCCAGCTCAAGCTTGACTACAGAGGATTTCTAGTGGTTAGAAAAGAGCCAACATTCCTCAGAAACTTGTGAAATGGTTTCCCTTCCTGACTCCCAGGAGGAGTCATTTCCCTTGCCTCCAGCAGAAGGAACATATGGCTTTCCATTGACATATGCCCAGGGTTGCATATCAAAGCCCATGCTGGCCTCCAGGCTCCTACAGTCACCAGCTCTGGGCTTCCCTCCCAAAGTTACTCTCCCTCCTTATAACCAGCCATTTTCCACTGTTGCCTCCCTTACTATCTCTCTGTCTCCACTACTCTCTCGTGTTGCTCTCTGCTATCCCTGTTTCTCTAGTCCTGGCCATGTCCAAGCTGTTTCTTTCTCTGTCTGTTCTGTAGTCTTCCAGATGCCTCTGGATGTCCTCTCTCTTTATGTACAATAAAAACCTTCCCCTCAATGCAGTGGCCATTTTGGTAGTTTCTTTGCTGCACCCCTCAAGTGCTATTCCCTCCTCTTCTGGGATGTGAGCTCAGTCACATGAATACTGCCTGGAGCTTTTCAACCTTAGGATGAACTAAGAGTGCCTAGACAAGCATGTACAACTGCCAGCTAATGAAGAAAGAGCCCAGTGGCCCCTGCTTGTCTGCAATTCTCCAATGAGATCTAAACACACCTCATGTTGAAAATGGATCACAGTGATTTATTTCTTACTATTGTTATCATTGCTTAAATATGAGTTACTTAGTGTCACTGGACTTGGGATATATATATATATATATTCATATTCTCGTGTGTGTGTGTTGAGACAGGATTTCTCTGTGTAACCCAGGCTATCCTAGAATTCTCTCTATAGATCATGTTGGTCTTGAACTCTACCTGTCTCTGCCTCCCAAGTGCTGGGATCAAAGGTGTGAGTTACCTCCACTTGACTTCTCAGGATACTTTTAATGAGACAGAAAAGTTAACATGATAAAGACAAATCTTGACTATAAAATCCATGAGGAAAACTGTTAGCAACTGTAGTGGTTTGAGTATGAAATGTTCCAAAATACTTTTGTGTTTGAACATCTGGTCACCAGTTGATGGCATTGTTTGGGAAGGTTGTGGAGCCCTTAGGAACTGGAGCCCTTATAAGAGAGGGAGGCCACAGATGAGTGGAGGTAGGACTTGAGGTTTTGTAGCCCAGACTCATTTTGTGACATTCTCTGCTTTCTGACTGTCAGATAATGCTATCAGCTACCTCATACTCCTGCCACTGTGGACTGGATCCTTTCAAACTGTAAGCCAAAATAAATCCTTCTTCAGTACATTGCTTTTTGTCTTGTGTTTTTCCATAAGAACAAACAAAGAAGCAACTATCAAAGATTATTTGGGAAAAAAAGTGCTAAGTGCCAATGTTAGAAATTATTAAACAATAATAAAGTAGACACAAATGGTAGTTATTGATCACAAACAAAGAAGGGACACTACAAAGATGGAATGCACCAGGAGGTTTCTGCGTGTGTGTGTGTGTGTGTGTGTGTGTGTGTGTGTGTGTGGTGTTGCAAATCTCTTTTTTTTGTTAGAAAAAGAGTGTGTTAATCATGCTGGCACATGCCTTTAATCCTAGCTCTCAGGAAGAGAGGCAGATGGATCTCTGTGAGTTGGAGTCCAGCCTAGTCTACATAGTGAGTTCCAGGAAAGCCAGAGCTACATAATAGGGAGACCCTGTACTGAGAGAGAGAGAGAGAGAGGAGAGAGAGATTCTACTGGATTTACCTATTCTATCTATAGGTATCTATGCAACCAGAGAACATTAACAGCAAAGTAAAAATAGTTACTAATTACATATTAGCAATTACTAATTACTTAGTACAATCAGAGTGAGCCATCTGGGATTCTGACACAGGGGCTCAGAGCCAGATGGGAGAACTCTCCAAGAAAGAATAGTTAACTAGAGTCTTGAAGGCTGAGTTTGTCTAACTCAGCCCCCTCAGCATTTCCTCATCCTAGCCAGCCTTCTCAGATCTCTACTTTCACAAAGCACTGGCCCTGATCTAATTTGCCTCTAAGTCTGACAAACACCGATGAAGAGAACTGGGATAACCTTGATTTCAGACTCCTTCCAAACAAAGAATGAACCTCCTGAAGGAGGACAGCTTTATTTTTACTGACTGGAACTCAGAGAAGACTCACAACTATTTACCACCCTGCCTCTTCTACTTTCAGCAACTCAAGCATCCTAACCTTGTCAATCTCCTGGAAGTCTTCCGGAGGAAGCGGAGGCTCCACCTGGTGTTCGAGTACTGCGACCACACGGTGCTTCACGAGCTGGATAGATATCAGAGGGGGTGAGTGGCCCACCCCCTTACCAGGAAACAGAGGAGACAAAGCTCACAAGAGTCTGTCAGGGGAAGTAGCCTTGGGAACATTTTTGTTAAAGGCTGTGTAAGAAGCCATGCATGGTAATGTATGTAGTTAGGAGATTGAAGGGAGAAAATTGGCAGACAGGTTGAAGCCACACTGGGCCATAAAACCTGTCTCGAAAGCAAACAAACAAATAAACAAACTAGTGAGCAAAAGTATCAGTCGACATGTCTCTGCTGCTAATAGCTGAGAAATTTCCAGAAAAGTTGTGAAGTAAGTTATAAAGTCATTTTAACGAAGAAAGCATAAAAGCATCGAAGACAAACCTTGGCTTCTGTGCTTTATGTCTTTGCACTCAGTTATCTCAGCCTCTCAGAAAGCAGCAGACATGGACAGTAGATACTTTGTATCTGATTAGAGAAGCACAGTGGCTTGTACGATAGAGGAAAACCTCAGTGGTAGAGCACTTGCCTAGCAAGCGCAAGGCCCTGGGTTCTGTCTTCAGCTCTGAAAAACAAAAAAAAAAAAAAAAAAAGACAAAGAATGGTGACACACACCTGTAATCCCAGCTCCCAGCTCATAGGAGGATCACCAGTCTGAGGCCATCCTGGGCTACACAGCAAGACTCTGCCTCAAAATAGATAGATAGATAGATAGATAGATAGATAGATAGATGATACTTAAATACATAGATACATACATACATACATACATACATACATACATACATACATACAAAAAAAGTACAAAAGTAATCACCAAAGGGACATTTATGGCCATCAAAATCCTAATGTAATCTAAGTATTTGGCGTGCTGGCATTAGTCAGGACTTCTTTGGTACAAGTGACAAAAACTCAGCTTGAGGCAAGCGCAGGTAGAGACCACAGGCCTTGGTGGCTCTAACTGGCAGAGTGGGAGTGACTGGTGTTTGTGGTCCCAGACAAGAAGACCTGGGACAGGAAAAGTGCAGGCTGAGCATAACCCAGCTTATGTAAATCCATGTAGTTTTTCCAGAAGGGAACTCTTTTTTTTTTTAATTTTTTTATTGATGTTTTATTTACATTTCATATGTTGTCCCCTTACCCCATCCCCCACCCACCCAGTAACCCCCTATCCCCTAACCCCTCCTCCTTCTTCTCTGTGGATGCAACCCCTACCTACTCCCCCACTCCCACCTCCCCACCCTCAAAATTCCCACCCCCTGGGTCGTCCAGCCTTCATGAGGTCAAGGATCTCTTCTTCCACCTATGCCCAGCAGGGCCCTCCACTCTTATATATTCAGCTGAAGCCTTGGATCCCTCCCTAAGTGCTCCCAGGCTGGTGGTTTAGACCCTGGGAGCTGTGGTTGGTTGGTATTGTTGCTCTCCTCATGGTGCCCCAAATCCTTTCAGCTCCTTCAGTCTTCACTCTAACTCCTCCATTGAGAACCCCATTATCAGTTCAATGGCTAGTTGTGAGCATCCACCTCTGAATTTGTCAGACTCTTGAAGACCTCTGAGGAGACATCCGTATCAGGCTCTTATCAGCATGCACTTCCTGACTTCCACATCAGCATCTACCTTTGGTGACTGCACATGGGATGGATACTCAGGTGGAATGGTCTTCAGATGGCCCCTCCTTCAGTTTCTGTCCCTCACTTTGTCTCCATATTTGCTCAGAAGGGAACTCTTTAGGAGGAAGCTACACATAAAATCTACTGAATCTCTGATTGTCCAGCTAGAATGATGTGACTAATCCAGGAGCCAATTGTGTCATGGGATTCTTATACTCCATTCCTGGAGGGGAGAGGGGGTCTGCCTTTTGCTGGGGAAACATGGAGAATGCCTGATAGCTCAGAGGAGAGCCTTGCTTATGTCTTCCCTCCAGTGGCTGTAGGATGAGATTCTTCTCAGCTTTGCCCAAGAGCTTGCTCTGCCCTGTGATATTGGTTACATAAGATCTACCATGACGTCCTGTAAATGAGATTACAGTGGCCTGTGGTTTGTTAATGTCCATGAAGCATGCTTTTCGTGTTCCAGAATGTTATTGCCAAGAAGATAGACACCACCCTCCAGAATGCCATCAACACAGAGAAATTATGTCTTGAAACAAGAGAACATTTCCTGTGTTGCTATTTGCTCTTTTGTCAGCTTGCAAGTAATGCTCAATGAAACCTTACTAGTGTAGTTGCTCCTGCTGTGTGGTACAACGGAGACACTGTGGCAAGTTGGGCTACTCATGGTGGGCTCATCTTCCTCTGTTTTATACCATAACCAACACAGAAGCCTTCAGGAACCTCAGATGGCTGTATATACGTATAATCTCCCCAAGTAACAAGCAAGTAATTAATTGTACAATGGAAAGCAGCTAGCTGGCTGTCCCCTAATCTGATCCAGTCCTTATGCTATCTACACAAATATAGCAGCAAATCCCACATGTTCATGACTTTAATTATCCAAGACTGTCTGTTTCCTTTAGATGCCAGTCACAGCCCAGGTTATTTTACCTTGGCTTCTGACCGACTGCCTGTGAATCAGGATACCCACTACCTACATCATCCTTGGGTTTGATGTTTACTCCAGCGGCATACTGGACTCCAGAACACATTTGTCACATTTGCTGCGTTATTACAAAGGATACAGATGAAAGTTACAAACAGAGTATGGACTCCACTCCCTCTCCATATCCTCTGTAGGAAGACCCACAAGTTTGGCCCTTTGCAGACTCTCCAAAGGCTGCCATCCTTTTGGGTTCTTTTGGGGACGCCAATGAGAAGACATGGTTGCTAACTGACTGCATGGGGAACTCAGCAAGACTTGTCTGTTGAGATTCTTCTTGGTTTATCTGTGATAAGCCAGAACAGGGAACAGGGCCGCTGGGGGTGAGCAGAGTCAAGGACAGATGAGATACTCTCTTCATAGCTATCTATCTCTATGACAGAAATAGGGGATGGGGCATGTTTCAGGTTTTATGACCTGCCTTCAGGGTCTATGAACCAGGCATCATAAATAAAACTCTGACAGAAACAGATAGATGAACGTGTGTGTGTGTGTGTGTGTGTGTGTGTGTGTGTATGTGTGTGTGTGAGACTTTTTGGCACTGTGACAAATCTCTGAGAGAAACAGTTGTTTATGAAGAAAGATTTATTTGAGTTCACAATTTCACAGGCTTTGGTTCATGGTTGACTGTTCTATGGCTGGAGGCCTGAGGCAAGGAAGAGTATCATGCTGTTCCTGTGATAGGCTGAAGCTGCTTGTCTCATGACAACCAGGAAACAGAGAGGAGTAACAGGAAATGGGGGTCAACCTTTACCCTGTACAGGCATGTCCCCAGTGACTCACTTTCCTCAGCTAGGCCTATTTTCTACAGTTCCACTCTTGTCCAATAGTTCACTCAAAGTTTAAACCCATCGATTAATGAAACCATCCGTTCATTAGGTCAGAGTCTTTGTGATCTCGTTGTCACTGGAAAAGCCCTCACAGACAGAGCCAGGAGTATGCTTCACTAGTTTTCTTGTGTCTCCTAAATGCAGTCAAGTTGACACTCACAATTAACCATGATAACTAAGCAGGGGTGAGGGCAGGGATACCCTAAATAGAATAACTTGTTATATTCGATTAAAGGCATTTTATCTACTGACATGGCTCTCTCCAGAAGTGGGCATGGATGCAGCCAAAGTGCCTCAGCCTGAAGACAAGGGCAGTCATGCCTGCCCCACCCCCACCCCAATTCATTTCTCCTCATAAAGATTATAAACTAATTTTCCTTATAAATCACCTAGGACTAAGCCAGCAGACACAATTTATACATGAATGAGAAAGTTGCTACTCTGCTGTTCTGTACTGGGCTGGGTGATTTGCTTGGCGCTCATCTTGTTGTGGTGCCATGGATACTGTCTTGGTATGCTGACAAAGCCTGGTGTCTAGAGGACTGGAGACCATGGCCACAGTAGCCAATTCGCCAGCACCTTGTCAAGAAAGCAGTGCATGCCCTGTGTTCTGGAACAAGTTCTCTGCTTCATTAGTACACTTTCATATGACAGGAATATAATCTTTATACCTATTATTAATGTAAGTCATTACATTAAGTTACATTATTTCTAGCCATTCTTCCATCACTGAATATTCAAGAAGTTGTCAGCATTTGGTCTGATAAATAATTCTACTGTAAATTTTCCCTACAAATACATTTTCCCTTTTCTTTAATTTCGATTTAGAAGTTCTTGAACTAAGGTTCTGGGGTGTACATTTCCCCAAACAGAACAAATTTATTTTGCTACCCAATGTTATACATTTTTTCTTATAGCCATGCTAACTTGGGTTCTAATATTCAAATATTTTTTGTGAAGTCTATCAAATGCATAAGGAGGGAATAGCAACCCTATTCAAATTCCATGAAAACACAAAAGAAACATTTCCCAAGTCATTTTGTGAGTCAACTCTCTCCTGATGCAAAAACCAAATAAAGGCATTTCAAGTCAAGAAAATGATAAATGAGTGTTTCTCATGGACCTTAGTGAAAACCCCCTACTAAAATTACTAGCAGGTAATGTAAGGCAACAAGTAGTATGCTGATATTTCCTAACATTTTTTAGTATTGTGGGCTTCTGCTTCTCTACCCTAATCAGCCAAATACTTTGTCACATTATGTAGCTCTGGCTGTCCTGGAACTCACTCTGTAGACCAGGCTGGCCTCATACTTACAGAGGTCCTTCTGCCTCTGCCTCCTGAGTGCTGAGACTAAAGGCATACACCACCACCGCACCTGACTTTATCATATTTTTCCTCAAGTTAATATCTGCTTTGCCTTTTAGTTTGCCTAACATTCTTTAACCCTAGAGATAATTTCTTCCATTTTTTTTTTTTTTACTATTTGGTATGCATATAGCTTTGCCATCATTTTTTTTAAGATTTATTTATTTATTTTATATATATGAGTACACTATTGCCCTCTTTAGACACACCAGAAGAGGGCATCAGATACCATTACAGATGGTTGTGAGCCA